GTCTAAGACATGATAAAAATTAACAAAAAGTTTTTTTTTTTTTTTTTTTTTTTTTTTTTAGTTGGAGAATTTTTCTCAGCTCTGAAAATTTTTTTCCAGCCGACTCGAGACTTTACCATTTATATTTACGAATAGTCTTTGGATTATTTATTTATTTTCTTTTAAAAAGAAAAATTCTGAGCTAGACCTATCTATTGGCTTAACATTCTGGTCATAGAAACAGTCTAGAATCTCATTTTATTTTTCGAGGCTAATGCACGGGTTCTCCAATCAAAAGGGTTACTATAAAGGGATTGGTTTGAATGCATTTATCTGCAAATGTTGTAGGATTCTGTTGTTGAGAAGGGGGTATATTATTATTATTATTATTATGATGATGATGATGATGATGATTGTGGCAGATTCGTTTTCTACATGGAAGTCTAATCTCCTCCGAAGACCTTTTCTGGGGATCGTCGATAGATGGTTTTTCAATAGGAATCGTTTCCCTCGGATCCTCAAGAGATAGAGGGGGGGTCCTGTCTTGAGACATGGAGCGGTCTCTCCTCCTCCTCCTCCTCGAGAAGTCTTGAGAAAGGGAGAGGATTTTCGGTTCCCTTATTCTTGAGGGGTCTTGACAAATTGAGAGGTCCCTCCTCTTCGAAAGAGAGAGAAGTTTTGGTTCCCTTATCCTCGAGGGGTCTTGACAAATTGAGAGGTCCCTCCTCTTCGAAAGAGAGAGAAGTTTTGGTTCCCTTATCCTCGAGGGGTTTTGACAAATCGAGAGGTCCCTCATTTTCGAGGGGTCTTGATAAATGGAGAGGTTTTTCATCTTCGAGGGGGTTTGATAAAGGAAGAGGTCCCTCCTTCTCGAGGGGTCTTGAGAAATGGGAGAGGTTTTTCATCTTCGAGGAGGTTTGACAATGGGAGAGATTCTCCTTCTCGAGGGGTCTCTCTTCCTCAAGGGGTTTTGAGGAAGGGAGAGGTTTTTCATCCTCGACGGGTTTTGACAAACGGAGAGGAATCTGAACAGGCTTCTCCTCATCCCCATCATTATCGAGGAGGATGAGGATAGGCTTTTGGAAAGGTTTTTTCTTTTTCTTCTGAACAGGCTCCTCTTGATGCTCGGGGAGAGGGATGGGGTAGTTGTTCCACCATTCTATTTTTTCTTGCTCGAGGATTTTTTCAAAAGTCGTGGCCTCTCTAAGATGAGACGAAGGAGGAGAGTCCTCGAGAAGAATATAATAGGTATTCTTCCCAGTCTTCTCGATCGAGAGAGGTTCGTGCAAACATTTGTGCAACCATTCACTAAAATGAACGAGAATCCCTTTTGTCTTCTCAAGACGATCCATAATCCTATTCATTTGCGAGACGGTTAGAAAGTGGGACGTGTAAAAATATTTGGCTCGTTTCATTAACAAAATTTGTGCATCCAAAGGTGGAATGTCACGAGCCATCAACACGTTTTCGTCGGACAAAAATTCGTCCCGCATCTTTTGATAACTCCCCACGGTATAATAACCCGCACATTTTGAAAAATCGGAGGCTTTCAGGTAAACGACTCCTTGGATGATATAAAAGGAAAGATCAACATATTTATATTTGAAAGGAATACACGTAGTGAGCTGGGGATGCCTCCTCATGATCCACTTGGACAAAAATACGACTTTGGGGCTCTCCCCTTTTATTTATAGAGAGAAAGAGAGTGTGACCTTCCCTTCCCTCCTCCTCCTCTCTCCCTGCTTCCTCTATCTCTGGACGTCCTTGGATTGGAAAGGGTGACTTTGAAAAAAAAAAAGAAGGTCATGGTTGGATAATTTTTTGTTTATTAAATTATTACTTTCACTTCCTCATTCCCACACACATTCATCTTTTTAAGAAAAGAAAAAGAGGTCATGGAGATAAGATTTCTTGGAAAGAAGAGAGAGAGAAACAAAAAAAAAAAATAAAACGGACGTCATAGAGCCTCTATGTGTGTCTGTGTGTGTCTATATATATAAAAAGACGAGAGTACTGGGCGAGATCATTTCTTTTCCATTGGGAGCCATGTCGCTATTAGACGTTTTTCCAACTCAACGGATTTCGAACGGGGAGGATTTGAAGACGCTAAAGCAAATCTCCAACTTGAAAATTTTTTTGGCGTGTCATTGTGCGACATTTATTCCGCATTTACCACCTCATCAAGCGATCGTTTCTTTCAACCAAGATGAATGCTCGAATATATACGCGAAAGAAATCTCCCTTCTCTTGGAATCGGATGGATCGAGCTTTGAGACGGTTCAAACAGACCTATATCCGCTTTTCGGTGGAAGACTCACGAAACGATATTTTACGTTTGGAGTGAGAACGACGGCTGAGGACGAAGTTCATATTGTTCAAACCACAGCCGCTCCTCTCGCCTATTACGAATCATCGTCCCCCAATCTGAAGGAAAGAAGTTTTAAAGTCAGCGACAGGATGAAATATAAGAAATATATTCTAAGACCTTTTCAAAACTATGTCGTTCCCCCGAAAACGCAATATCTCATCGTCACAACCCAGAAGAGTCTCTTTCTCGTCGATCGGTGCTCGTACTCGCTTTGGAAACAATTGAAAGAGGAGATTTCTTTCCAATCGCCGATGATGTTTCAAGAAAAAGAAGAAGAAAGAAGAAAACCCTCCGCCACCTTTACCCATCCCTTCCTTAGATGATAAGAGGAGCTGGACCAAACCGTTATCATGGCCCGAAACAAAATCGACCCGGCAACGGAATGAAATTGAAGTCATCACAATTGAAGATGAGGGAGGAAGAAAAAAAATTACCTCTTAAAAAACGGTCGACGACTTACCGGAACCTACCTGGCGTGCAAGATCCGCTTCAGAATCCAGAAGCTTCTTCTTCTTCTTCTTCCCCGACTTGTTCAAACAGGCAACCTCTTTCGGACTCCTCACAGACAGAACCTCTTCCAGTATCCTCTTCTTCTTCTTCTTCTCCTCCAACCTGTCCCGACATCGTAGAGGTAGAATGTCAGACGGGTCCACAAGCTTCAAAAAGTCCCGACATCGTAGAGGTAGAAGAATGTCAGCCGGGTCCACAAGTTCCAACGGGTCCAGAAATCATGGAGGCAGAATCACAGCCGGGTTCACAAGTTCCAACGGGTCCAGAAATCATGGAGGTAGAATTTCAGCCGGGTAAACAAGTTCCAACGGGTCCAGAAATCATGGAGGTAGAATCGCAGCCGGGTCCAGACATCCTAGATCCCTCCACTCATCCCAAAGAGACTCCAAGTGTTTCAAGACAGCCTTGTGAGGATCCAGCCCTTCCCGTATGGAATGATTATATGGACTTACAAAATTTGGTGCAACAGGAAGGAGAAGAAAAAATAATCATACGGATGGGTGGGTCAAAGACTGTTTAGATCATTTAACCTCGAATGAAATTGAACTGTTATGGAATTGCATTTCTGAAATCACATCGGAAATGGGATAAAAAACCAAAACAAAAAAAAAATTTTTTTAATAACAAATTGGAGGAGGGTCATGATGTCAATTAAAAAAAAATATTATATAGAGTCCAATCTTGGTGGTTCACTTCAGTTTTCCAGCATGAGGTGATCCACGTTTCCCGAAATATGGATCCCATTCCAAGAGAGATTGTGTAGAGCCTTCACTTCAGTTCTTTTTTTTTTCTACCAAGAGGAGAGGGTCCCCAAAGGGCTACCCATGTCCAAAGAGAGAAAGTGTAGAGTAGTAGAGCGTTCATTTCAGTTTTTTTTTTAAAGTTTAGGGGAGGGAGGTCTCAAAATGACACCCCCCCCATTTTCAAAGAGAGATGGTGTAGAGCGTTCATTTCTGTTTTTTTCCAAAGTTAGGGAGTTTTCAAATGGCTACCCATTTCAGAGAAAGAGAGAGAGAGAGAGAGAGAGAGAGAGAAGGTGTAGAGCGTTCATTTCAGTTTTCCAAGGTTAGGATGGTGGTGGAGAATCCTCCAAAATGGCTACTCATCTCAAAGAGAGAGAGAGAGAGAAAAGCGTAGAGCGTTCATTTCAGTTTTCCAACATTAGAAGGTCCCAAAATACCTTCTGAATTCAAAGAGAGATCGTGTAGAGCGTTCATTTCCAGTTCTCCAAGATCAGAAGAAGAGGGTCCGCTTTTCCCAAAAGGGCTTTCCGCATTCAGAGACAGCGAAATGCAGACTTCAGTTTTCTCCCTCCCCAAGAATAGAGGGTCCCAAAATGGCTTCCCATTTCAAAGAGAGAGGGAGAGGCGTTCATTTCCATTCTCCAAGATAGGGTCGTCTGCTTTTTCCCAAAATGGCTTCCCAATTCAAAGAGAGAGAGAGAGAGAGAGTAAAAGGGTGTGTAGAGCGGTCATGTTCATTCTCCAAGATAGGGTCGTCAGCTTTTTCTCAAAATGGCATCTCCCCATTCAAAAAGAGATCGTAACCAATTTTTTCCAAGATGGGGGGGAGAAGAAAACCTAGGATGGAATAACACGACACACAGAGAGAAAAGAGAAAAAAAAACGCCATCTTGTCATTTTCTGATAGGGTACCGGTGTTCGAATACTTTTGTGACCGACTGTACGGATAAAACGCGGGGTATAAGCATGAAGCGAAAAATACTTAGTCAAAAAACTTATGAGTTCCCAGTAGGATTCTTTGAAGGCATCGGTCCTTGTGGAGTTGTTTCTTTGTTAAGCGGGTAGAAATTGAGAACCGCTGGCCTATGGCAATGTATTGGTAAAGCTACTAGAGATATAGTAGCCTTTATAGTAGCCTTATTGTAGACTAGCAGAAAAGTAAAGATCTACGTAAGCAAGCTCTTCCTTTTTTGAAGGATAACCTTTTGAAAGCAGAAATCAAAAGATGAAAATTTAAGCACATGATTTTGTTAAAGCAATTCAAACATCTATCAGTCAGTTAAATATTTTCCTTAAAAATAACTCTGATTATTTATTAATCTACTTATTAAGCGGTTTGAGGATTTTCGACGTTTGCGAAAATATTTATTAAGAAATTCTCATTAGGATTTTGGCATCTTTGCTGGATTAGTGTCATGGCACCGTTGCTAAATATCAAGAAGATTCTTATTTGGAAATTTTGTTTTCCAATAATTGTGTGTTTACCCGCTGTAGTTAAAAGCAAAGATGTAGAGCTGCAGCAACCCGAGTCAAATGTTACTTTAGATTTTCCCAATATAACTCATTATCGTCATTACGATGAGTTGCGGAATATTCTATATAAATTAAAAGAAGATTATAATGACTTAGTTAAAGTGTATTCTATTGGTCAGACCGTAGAAAAACGTGAAATGTATGTTATAAGTATCACTTCTAATGTCTCTGATAATAAGCCGATGTTCAAATATGTTGCAAATATGCATGGTAACGAAGCTCTTGGCCGGGAACTGCTGTTGTATTTTGCACAGTACTTACTCTACAATTACAATAAAATCGAACGAGTTACAAAACTGATAGATTCTGTGGATATACATTTAATGCCTTCGGCAAATCCTGATGGCTTTGAAAAAGCAAAAGAAGGTGACTGTTATGGCTCTAGTAAGCCATCTGGGAGAGAAAATGCAAATGGAATTGATTTGAATCGAGATTTTCCTGATCAGTTTATTGAATTAAATGGCAGTAGAATGATAGAGGGTCGTCAGCCAGAAACACTCAATCTCATGACATGGATCGTATCCAATCCGTTTGTTTTGTCGGCGAACTTGCATGGTGGTTCACTTGTGGCTAGTTATCCATTTGATGATTCGAAGTTTCATACAATAAGCGGTGAAAAGAGCCCTTCCCCTGATGATGGGCTTTTCGAACATTTGGCACGTACATATGCCAATTCTCATGCTTTCATGAAGAATGGTCATATTTGCTTAGATGATGACTTTCCTAATGGTGTTACAAATGGTGCTGAATGGTATGATGTATCAGGTAAATGTTTTATGTTTATATAGAAGATTATAATATAGATTATAAAGAATAATCTCTATTGTCAATTGTTATTGGAAAATTTTTCAAAATATTTCCAATTGTGAGAGTTAGTGGTACTTTCTCTATAATATAGATTATAAAGAACTAATCTCTATTTTAACTATTGTCAGTTGTTATTGGCAAATTTTTCAAAATATTTCCAATTGCGACAGTTAGTGGTACTTTGTCATTATGTGCACCTCACCAGAAAGCTATGAAAATACAGGGTGTCGATAATTAAACTTGAAATTTGCGAGCAGTCTGTAGCGAAAACTGTGCAGCAGAATTGCATGAAAATTGGGTAAAGGCAGAATAAAATTATGAGACTTTTGGTGAAAGTGCAGAATCGCCCACTGCTTGGTGCGTTTTTAAGAATTCCACATACTCGGTATACATGTATACATCGACCTATTTTCACTTAAAAAAACATCCCAGAATTGCACAAAAATGGCATTGTGCACTCCCTTAACTTTATCCATGTACACATCGATCTATTTGCACTTAAAAAGTCAAAGAAAATTGACAAAAATCCAAGTCTTCTTGCTCTTGTAAAAAGCGCCAAACAAATAAGGGGGCGATTCTGCACGTTAGCCAGAATTTTATCCAGGAAAAAAAAAAACGAGTTTCAAAACCACTACTAGATGGTGTTGTGCAATATAAATTATTGCATATGCAAATGTTGTAACTATAGTGATCCTGTGCGTGCACAGAAACCCTATAAGGTTGCGAGAGGCGAACTGCAGTCATACTCATTTCCAAGCCAAGGAAGATGATGTTGACTCTCCAGAAACGTGGTTTAATGATATTGTTTTACCAAAATGGAGACTCTGCTATTGAAGCTTTGCGGAAATTTTGGTCTTTGAAAGTTATGAAATGGTCCACTCACTAGTTAAGGACTAACAAACATGATTGGGAATCTTGAAGGAACGGGAACATTGGGGATTCAACCAGGAAGAGGACGAAAGTGTGTTGCAGCACAGGTAGTGGATGATATAGTGACGCAAGTGGAGGAGGATAAATCGCAAAGCATTAGCAGCACTAGTGTTAGGTGTATTGTAGCATCTGCTGACCAACCTCGTTGCACGGTTCATATGATTCTTCAAAAGGTCTTGCGCTACTATTCCTATAAACTGTCGCTAGTGTAGCAGCTCCTACCAGCTGATCTGGATAGTCGACAGACTTTTGCATTGTAGTTTCTTGTACGAGTTGAGCTCCAGCATGAATGACCATGGAACATTTTGTGGACCGATGAGGTCCACTTTCATATGGAAGTTGCTGTTAACACCTACAATTGCCATATCTGGTCTGCTGCAAATCCACATCAATTCCTATAAATTCCATTACACTCTTTGCATGTAAAGGTTTGGTGCGGCTTTACTGCAACCTTCATTGTGGGTCCATTTTTTTTCCAAAGAGTACGGGGCCTGTGACATGCACTGTCACCGGTCAACAGTACACTTCATTATTAGAGCAATCAGTTATTCCGGCTGTTCAGGCAATTCGATGTGATACGAAAACAGTGTTTATGTATGATGATGCTTCTCCACACATCGCTTGTTATGCGAAACAAGTGCTCCGCCGCCATTTCGGTAACAACAGAATCATCAGCTGGCAGTTTCCTACAGCTTGGCCTCCTATATCTTGCGACTTTTGACTGTGGGGATACTTCAAGGTCAGTGTCTACTGTGATCCTATCACATCTCTATCCGACCTTAAAGAAAGCATAGAATGCCATGTAACATTCCCCAGTTCATGCTGCTTTCAACAGTCGAACATGCAAATTTACACTTCCAGATGGTAGCAGACAGTGGTAGACATCATATTGAGCATGTTTTGTAAACTTTTCTAGATTATGTATATGTTCTCAACTATATATGCTACCTAGGGGGTATAAACTATGATATGCTACATATGGGTGGTTTTTGAAACTCATTGTTTTTTCTGCCTTGATAAAATTCCCATCATTTCATTCTGCCATTATCCAGTTTTTATGAAATTCCGCTGTATAGTTTTTGCTAAAGACTGCTCGCAAATTTCAAGTTTAATAATGGATATCCTGTATATTGATGTTGTTTATTGCCAAAAAGTATTTATATAGCAGATATACGCACAACATCCCCCAAGACTGCATTCCACTGGTCTGGATATTTTTGCCATTATGACTGTATACTGTACAAAGTCTGCAATCCGGACTTGTCGGGACTTCGGCGAATACGGATTATAGATCAATTTAAATTTCGCATGTAGAAATTACACAATTAAAAATATGAAACCATAATTTATGAAATAAAGAGCCATTATGATCTAAAGGGTATCAAATTTTACAAAAAAAAAGCTTAATATTTATTTGTTTACTTTATTAAACATTTCGGTTGATCTTTAGATTATGGTAACTTGGCGATTTTTTGGCGACCAACTCTCCTACAGCAACCCTCTATTTTTTTTGGTTGATCTTTACATTATGGTAACTTAGCGTTTTTTTGGCGAAAACTTGGCGACCAACTCTCCTACAGCACCCTCTATTTTCTTTTCCCGCCGCCATTTTATATTCACGAAGTAAAGATATGTTTCTTTTCTTTTTATCTACTGAACACTTCTTCCAACAATCTACTAGCCGAATTACACTTATGCTAGAAATTTTATCTAACAAAACTGCTTAATCATGACAAATATTCACTGCACAATTGGGAAAAAGTGCACAATACCATACTCCTTACGCGTTTTTCAAAATAACACATACACATAAACCATGTACACGTCGACTTATTTTTACTTAAGAAAACATCCCAGAATAGCACAAAAATGGCATTGCGCACACTCTTCACTATATCCATGTACACTGCTTTTTTCTCATAAATTAGAAAAATTTCACGAAAATACACGACAATTTTCTCAATCTTTAAACCCGGTAAAAAGAACATATATGAAATTACCTGATCGCGAAAAAGTTTCTTCTTTTATCTACTGAACACTTCTTCCAACAATCTACTAGCCGAATTACACTTATGCTAGAAATTTTATCTAACAAAACTGCTTAATCATGACAAATATTCACTGCAAAATTGGGAAAAAGTGCACAATACCATACTCCTTACGCGTTTTTCAAAATAACACATACACATAAACCATGTACACGTCGACTTATTTTTACTTAAAAAAACATCCCAGAATTGCACAAAAATGGCATTGCGCACACTCTTCACTATATCCATGTACACTGCTTTTTTCTCATAAATTAGAAAAATTTCACGAAAATACATGACGATTTTCTGAATCTTTAAGCCCAGTAAAAACAACATATATGAAGCTACCTGATCGCGAAAAAGTATATACCCTTTCCAAATATGAACATTTCTACATATAAAATAAATAAAATATCCAAAAACTTTTACCTCTAAATCATCTATTATATTATAAATGTCACCAACGAATTCATACCGCAAGCATTACAAATACTTAGTGTCAAATATTTAAATTATTTCTATGCACGTTTACTTCAACTAAAACGTATACCAAATTCCTACAAACATAAAATTCACAAAATAACTATCATTTAATTAAAATATCACTAAACCATGTACATATCGACTTATTTTTACTTAAAAAAAAAATCCCAGAATTGCACAAAAATGGCATTGCGCACACTCTTCACCATATCCATGTACACTCTTTTTTCTCATAAATTAGAAAAATTTCACAAAAATGCATGACAATTTTCTGAATCTTTAAACCCGTCAAAAAGAACATATATGAAATTACCTAATAACGAAAAAGTATATACCCTTTCCAAATATGAACATTTCCACGTATAAAATAAATAAAATATCCAAAAACGTTTACCTCTAAATTATATATATATATTAAGCGTCACCAACGAATTCATACCGCAAACATTACAAATACTTAGTGTCAAATATTTAAATTATTTCCATGCACGTTTACTTCAACTAAAACGTATACCAAATTTCTACAAACATAAAATTTACAAAATAACTATCATTTAATTAAAATATAATTAAATTCAAAAACACTACTTAAAATATAAATAAGCGCATACATTAAATTAATAAAAATTAGCTTACAATCCTTTCCAAATATGAACATTTCCACATATAAATAAATAAAATATCCAAAACTTTTACCTCTAAATCGTCTATTACATTATACACGTCACCAACGAATTCATACCGCAACCATTATAAATACTTAGTGTCAGATATTTAAATTATTTCCATGCACGTTTACTTCAACTAAAATGTATACCAAATTCCTACAAACATAAAATTCACAAAATAACTATCATTTAATTAAAATATAATTAAATTCAAAAACACTACTTAAAATATAAATGAGCACATACATTAAATTAATACATACATAAATACCCATTTCAAATTCACTTTAGTTACGGCCATGGGATCCAAAATTCACGAACACTGTTTCACACACAACACAGAATAAAGCCAAATACAAAATTTCCAGATTTTTTCCCGATTTCCCCCTTTTCCGATTAAAGACCCGTAAGTCGTCCATTAATATCACATGACATATCCCATGATCTCTCATTTCCCTCACACAAAATAATGCGTAATCGGAACTGAGTACTGCTCACATTATTACCAAAGTCCCAGGTAGTAACCTTTATCGCCTCCAAAATGTCGCCAAACTACCAGTTACCATATTGTAAAGATCAAACTTTTTTTTTTTCCCGCCGCCATTTTGTCTTCACGAAGTAAAGACATGTTTCTTTTCTTTTTATCTACTGAACACTTCTTCTAACAATCTACTAGCCGAATTACACTTATGCTAGAAATTTTATCTAACAAAACTGCTTAATCATGACAAATATTCACTGCAAAATTGGGAAAAAGTGCACAATACCATACTCCTTACGCGTTTTTCAAAATAACACATACACATAAACCATGTACACGTCGACTTATTTTTACTTAAAAAAACAT